TCCTGGGAAGGATTTCCAACATTTCCTCTTAATTTTCCTCCCAATTCCTGGAAAACCACGGAATTCCTGGAATTATTTAGTTGGGAAAAGCACCCTAAGGATCATCCCAGAGCGCTCCAAGCTGGAATTTTTCCTTCCTGGGAAGGATTTCCAATATTTCCTCTTCTTTTTCCTCCCAATTCCTGGAAAACCACGGAATTCCCGGAATTATTTAGTTGGGAAAACACCTTAAGGATCATCCCAGAGCGCTCCAAGCTGGAATTCCTCCTTCCTGGGAAAGATTTCTGACCTTTCCTCTTCTTTTTCCTCCCAATTCCTGGAATACCATGGAATTCCTGGAAAACCACGGAATTCCTGGAATTATTTAGTTGGGAAAGCACCTTAAGGATCATCCCAGAGCGCTCCAATCCTCACCCAAACCACTTCCAAACACGGAAAATCTCCGGGAAAAAAAACCCATCCCATCTCACGCTCCACCTTTTCCCCGCGGATCCGCCAAAAACCCGGAATTCCCATCCCCGAATTCGCGATTCCCGGCGGGAATTCCCTCACCAGGTTGTGCACCTGGTGGTGCCACCCGCTGGGAACGAAGACGATCTCTCCGGCTTCCTGGATGATCTCCAGAGGGGCTCGGGCGAGGCCGGAGCGCGGATAAATCCGCGGATCCCGGAATTCCGGAGCCGTCAGGTCGAAGGGGAGATTCCCGTGGGTATCCGTGAGGAATCGCTCCTCTCCCGGCGGATACAGCAGCCAGCGCTTGCGGCCGCACACGTTGGCAGACCAGCTGTAGGAGCGGAAAACGTCGGCGTGGAACGGAGTCCTGGGAAAAATCGGGAATGGGACGGAGAGGGAGAGCGATCCCGAAGAATTCCGATCTGAGCGGTTGAGAAACCGAGGGGGTGATCCCGAAATTCCGCGAGGAATTTCCGTTGGATTGCGGAGTTTAAAAGGTCCCTATAGGGACCCTGATCCCAAAATTCCTCATGGAATTTCCATTGGATCGTGGAGTTTGGACTGTTAAAACCCCTGGATCCATCCCAATCCCGAAATTCCTCATGGAAAATCCTTTGGATTATGGAGTTTGGGCTGTTAAAGCCCCTGGATCCATCCCACTCCCAAAATTCCTCATGGAATTTCCGTTGGATTACGGAGTTTGGGGCTGTTAAAAGGTCGCTATAGGGATACTCATCCCAAAATTCCACAAGGAATTTCCATTGGATTATGGAGTTTGGGTTATTAAAGCCACTGGATCCATCCTGATCCCAAAATTCCTCACGGAATTTTTGTTGGAATGTGGAGTTTGGGCTCTTAAAGCCACTGCATCCATCCCAATCCCGAAATTCCTCATGGAAAATCCGTTGGATTGTGGATTATGGACTGTTAAAACCCTTATAGGGACACTGATCCCAAAATTCCACGAGGAATTTTAGGTGGATCATGGTGTTTTGCCAATTAAAAAGCCACTGGATCCCAATCCCAAAATTCCTCATGGAAATTCCATTGGATCACGGAGTTTGAGTCATTCAAAAGCCGCTTTTCCTGGAAAAATCAGGGATGGGCGGGAAGGGATCCCGAAAAATTCCACCGGGGATTTGAGCGGTTGAGAAACCGAGGGGCTGATCCCGAAATTCCGCGAGGAATTTCCGTTGGATTACGGAGTTTAAAAGGTCCCTATAGGGACCCTGTTCCCAAAATTCCTCATGGAATTTCCATTGGATCGTGGAGTTTGGACTGTTAAAACCCCTGGATCCATCCCAATCCCGAAATTCCTCATGGAAAATCCTTTGGATTATGGAGTTTGGGCTGTTAAAAGGTCCCTGTAAGGATACTGATCCCAAAACTCCTCATGGAAAATCCATTGGATTACGGAGTTTGGGCTGTTAAAGCCCCAGGATCCATCCCAATCCCAAAATTCCTCATGGAATTTCGGTTGGATTATGGAGTTGGGGCTATTAAAAAGCCACTGGATCCAAACCAATCCCAGAATTCCTCATGGAAAATCCATTGGATTATGGAGTTTGGGGCTGTTAAAGCCACTGGATCCATCCCAATCCCGAAATTCTTCATGGAAAATCCATTGGATTATGGAGTTTGGGCTATTAAAAAGTCCCCATAGGGACCCTGATCCCAAAATTCCTCATGGAATTTCCATTGGATCGTGGAGTTTGGGCTGTTAAAGCCACTGGATCCATCCAAATCCCGAAATTCCTCATGGAAAATCCGTTGGATTGTGGAGTTTGGGCTGTTAAAAAGCCATTGGATCCAAAGCAATCCCAAAATTCCTCATGGAATTTCCATTGGATTATGGAGTTTGGGCCGTTAAAGCCCTTATAGGGATTCTGATCCCAAAATTCCTCATGGAATTTCCGTTGGATAAGGGAGTTTGGATTATTTTGATTGGATTATCGAATCCTTAAAAAGCCATTGGATCCATCCCGATCCCAAAATTCCTCCCGGAATTCCGGCTGGATAACGGAACGTTTTCTATCCTTTTTCATTAATCCCAAAAAATTCCTCGAGGGCCGAGAATTCCTATCAAAACCCCCCCAAATCCCAATTCCAGAACCAACTCCAGGCTGGAATTTTCACCTGGAAAACTCCGGAATTCTCCCCGCGCGTTCCGAGCGGCCGATCCCGAGGGAATTTCTCATCTCCCGGGATTGTTTTTTGAGGAGAATTTGGGTTTTTCCCTTTCCCCTCCCCACTTTTCCCGTGAGATAACGGGAATTTTTTGGGATATCCAGCTGGAAAAGCGGGAATTTTCCGGGATCGGAGGCTTACCAGGATCCTTTGGGTCCCATGTAGACGAAGCGGAAATCGTCGGCGCCCACGGCATCCCAATATTCGTTGAGCCAATCCGAAGAAAAATACACGGGAATGCTGTAAAATTCCCGCTCCGGGAAAGCTCTGGAAAACACAAGGAGCTCGGAAAATCAGGATCCCAAATTCCCGAGGATCCTTTAGGGTGGAATTTGGGGGAGGTTCTGGAGCTCATTCCGTTTTTTTTTTCTGTCCCGGGGTTGTTCTGAGCTGGTTTTGGAGTAATTCCAGGGATTTAGGGGGAGGGGTGGATTTTTTGGGAATTCCGGCTCCTCCCCATTCCCACGGGGAAAATTCCTTCCCAAGGTTCTTTGGCAGCTGGAGGAGGAAAAGCAGAGGTGGGAGAAGGGAATTGGGAGGAGTGGGAATTTCCTGGAAAAACCGATGGATGATCAAGGATCCCAAATCCAACAGAGCCATGGAATAATCCCAATCCCAATCCCAATCCTGATTCCAATCCCAGTCCCAATCCCAGTCCCAGTTCCAGTACCAATCCCAGTCCCAACTCTGATCCCAGCCCCAGTCCTGATCCCAGTTCCAATCCCAGTTCCAATCCCAATCCCAGTTCCAATTCCGATCCCAATCCCAACACTGATCCCAATCCCAGTTTCAATTCCAATCTGAATCTCAATCCCAATGCCATTTCAATCCCAATTCAAATCCCAATCCCAACCCCAGTTCCAACCCCAATCCCAATTTCAATCCCAATTCCTATTCCAATTCCAATCCCTATTTCAATCTCAATTCCAATCCTGATCCCAGTCCCAATCCTGATCCCAATCTCGATCCCAATTCCATTTCCACTCCCAATCCCAATCGTGATCCCAGTTCCAATTTCAGTTCCAGTCCCAATCCTGATCCAAATCCCAATCTGAATCTCAATCCAAATCCCAATCCCTCTTCCAATCCCAATCCCAATCCCAATCCTAACTCTGATCCCAATTCCAGTTCCAATTCCAATCCCGATCCCAATCCCAGTTCCAATTCCAATCTGAATCTGAATCCCAATCCCGATCCCAATCCCAATCCCAATGCCAGTTCCAATCCCAATCCCAATCCCAGTTCCAATTTCAATCCCAATCCGAATCTGAATCTCAATCCCAATCCCAGCTCCAATCCCAGTTCCAATCCCAATCCCAATCCCTCTTCCAATCCCAGTCCCAACTCTGATCCAAATCCCCTTTCCAATTCCAATCCCAACCCCGATCCCAATCCCAGTTCCAATCCTGATCCCAATCCCAGTTCCAAACCCAATCCTGATCCCAGTTCCAATCCCGATCCCAATTCCAGTTCCAATTTCAATTCATATCCCAGTCTGAATCTGAATCCCAATCCCAGTTCCAATCCCAATCCCAATCCCTCTTCCAATCCCAACTCTGATCCCAATCCCAGCTCCAATCCCAATCCCAGTCCCAACTCTGATCCCGATCCAAATCCCAATCCTGATTGCAGTTCCAATCCCAATCCCAGTCCCAGTCACAGTCCCATTTCCAATCCTGATCCCAATCCAAATCTCAATCCCAATCTCAGTTCCAA